ACGTCCAGAGTCTACCTGCCTGAAGCTCCAAGCCCTCATACGGTTCTCAGTAGTGCCCAAGGTCCAGCCTAAAGAGCCTGTTGGGGATCGTCCTAGTCAGTGGCTCGCCTCGGTTGCTACTCCAGATCCTGCCGCATGCACCCAAAACTCGGGACCTGAGTCCTTGAGCAAAGAGGTTGACCGGAAGCATGTCAACCGCCAACCTCCGCTGCCGACAGTTCCTCCAGGACCTGCAGCAGTTGCTGTCACATGCGTCCTTGCTTTCTGGTTCTTGTGAAGTCTTCTTTGCCTGATTGCCCCGTGAAGCATGATCTGTGATCCCTTGGTTTGCGGACTGCGCTGCACCCTGGTGTGACGATGCAGGCCATTTTCTGTTAGAGGCTCGAAATTGGCCGAAATGGAAGTCAAACTCAGCTCATCGGGGCTATGATAGGTTCTTCCAGCTATCGACTGCAGCATCCTCCGGATAGCCTTGTCTAGGAAGGCTTGGGGCCCGCTGCAGAACCCTCCGATGCTAGCACTAGTCACTGGGCCCTGAACAAACTGTAAAGGCTACGTACGGTGTTGAATCCCGCTAGTGATGTCATGAGGAGGCAAGACGGGGACTACCTGTTTGGACGATGCCCATTGCTTTATGACAGTGCCACACATGATGGGTGATGCTATACACACATGGTACAAGCACAAGAAGTTATGCTTGCAAGAGAATGCACTGTAACAAAGATCTTGAAACGCAGCGAGATAGTCAGGTAACAACACGATTTCGACGCATCTAAGCCGTCGCAATAGTTAGGGATAGAATAGTGCAGTGCTGTGCAGTGCAAGATGCGGCTTGCAGGCTATCACGTATCATCATGAAGCTTCGCTGCGGGAAGTCTGGTAAGCACGTCGAAGCAGCAGCCTGGAACCTTTTCACAGGTCCATGTATCGAATGTATTGATTGTCGCAAGCGAGGATGGCCTTAGCGTCATGCATCAGCGAGGCCACCCGCAGGGCAGTGCATTGGGATTGATCTTCCCGCGGGCATCCAGCATGCAAGGGGATCTAGCGCTCCAGCAGCAGCAGCAGCCCTACTGCTGCCACGACTCGACACCACCGCCATCACTGCCGTCAAGCCACCTTGGCCACGACGGCCACCACCACCACAACCGCCACCACCGCCACCTCCCCACTGCTCGCGCCCGAAATACACACGTATCCAGTCACCTACATGCCAACATACCAACATACCTATATACCTAAACTTCAAATCCCACGCTGTCAATCGCTCAGTCGCAGCAGGTCAGCAGATCTTTGTCCAGGCTGTGTCATGGCTGAATGGCGCGAAGCTTTCGGCGAAGGAAGGCCTGGCTTCAGCTTTGTCTTTGGGCTAGCGCAGGCTCCGAAGGTCTGTAGGATCCCTAGAGCATGCAAGAACAGAGCAACAATGGCGCCATGGTTGCCAACCATAGTCGTGCTAGCGAATGCAAAAACAATTCTGTACGGAGATAAACCCTTCCAGTCATGGTCGTCACAACGACTACCAGTACCATCCACCTCATCATCATTTTCCTGCTTGTCATCGTGATCAGCTTGGTGTTCTCCCCGTCCTCCTCATCATCATCAACAATAGCAGTATCATTATCATCATAATCATCATCATCAGCATTATCATCAATGTCAGCATCGCTACAACCATCACCGTTACTGCACCACCACCATCAACATCACCATGACCATCACCATGACCAGCATCAGCACCAGCACCAGCACCGGCATCATCATCGTCATCACCATCATCACCGTCATCATCATCATCATCATCATCATCGATCATCATCATCATCATCATCATCATCACATCATCATTACTATTATCATTACTATCATCACCATCATCATCGTCATCATCGTCAACACCATCGTCATCATCATCATCATCATCGTCATCATGACCGTCATAATCATTACCATCATATTCATCTTCATCATCCTCACCCTCGTCATCATCATCCTCATCATCCTCATCATCATTATTAGCGTCACCACCGTCATCATCACCATCATCATCACCATCATCGTCATAATTTTAGTCATCGTCATCATCAACATCATCATCGTCATCATTGTCATCACTGTCATCATTGTCTTCATCGTCATCATCATCACATTCATCATCATCATCACCACCATCATCATCACCATCATCATCATGAATGGCGTCACTTTGACGTAGGGCTCACACCTACCCTGGTCTCAGAGTGTCAAACCCGATCCGTTCGATGGCCTTATCTTGCCAGAAGACGCGGGCTACTCGCCGGAGCAACGTGCCGTGACAGGCGACACTGGTTCCGTCCAAGGTAGTTCTCTACTGAAACTTGTGAGGGCAAGCAGCTTCTATCGTGCCAGGTGAGGCGGACAACTTATGGTCGATCCATGGTTTGGAGATGGTAATTATGCCGTGCAGGATGCCATCTGCCTGTTTCTGATGTGGCGAACTCTCCCTACGATCCCAGACCCCCCCCCCTCACCCTCCCCCGAAAAAGAGCTGCCGGAAGTCGAAAGCCTGACAACCGGAAACATGCTTTCAGACATCCCTGCCGCCTCAATGCTTTTCAACGATGTACTCGAAGGCCCTACATCCAAAACCCAGCCCCGGTCCCCCAATCCCTAAACCACGACAGCTTTCAACGCCCAAGCCCGCCAGTGCCCAAACTCCTGAACCCCCAAGACCCTTCAAGTCGCATCATGGAAGGTGATCCCGCCGACTCTCCCGAACCCCTTCCTGAATCCTCAGAGGCGGTCTCGCGGTGACGGGAGAGGGGTGCGGTAAGGGCTCTATGTGGGTCCTGTCAAGGGGTCTTAAGGTATCGGGGCTCAGGGTTTCGTTTTTTTTGCAATTTAGGGTCTTAGGGTTGGTGCTTCAGGGTTTCGGGTTTATGGCAGGTTTTCGCCAAGCGTTCGCTGAACTTAGTTTTCAGTTTGCTGTTAGTAGCACTTGATTATCAGTGTTAAGATTGCGATCACTGTTGTGACTACTAGTAGTAGTGTTTGTATTGTTATTTTTTATTTTTCGTGTCTGCTTCTTCACGCCGTCATGCCGCTTGAAGCCCTTACATATCTGAAGCCGTGTCATCCTTGCAACTCTAAAGAATCAGACATAAGCTCCCATCAAAACCTCAGTTCTACACTCCGAGCATCTAAGCTGCAAGGCTGCGTGTTCGCTGCAGGGTGTCTAGCTGGGGCATCCCTATTCATTCCTTGGGACTCTTTTTCAAAGTCTGATGATTTCCTAACTGGGATGCCTTTAGCTTGTGCAGGGAAGGAGCGTCAGGTCACCGGAGAAGCAGCACTCTCGAGACTCAGGGTTTGAGAATGTAACCTCACAATAATTGCTGTTGAGGCTCGGAAGGTTCGGGTAGGCAGCGACGGTTGGCGAAAAAACTTACCGTGTTGGTGTTGGGCTCCGAGTGGAAGACGTGGATGCGTTCATGCTGGCTCTGGGAATCATCGGAACGAATCTGGCCGGCCGCTACCCGAGCCGGGAACGCCTTGGCCCGTTCATCAATCCACCGTCCTTTCACGCACAGGAGCAGAGCCGTGCGTCAAGCCAGGCATCGAGTCCGGGCGAAGAGGAGGAGCATACTGCAGTGAAGTTGGAATGCGAGGCTATTCGTAGCATGAGTTGTTTAGTTGATTTGCATGTCGACGAGCAGATGAAGGCCTCGGATGCTGCTGGTGCTGCTGCTCGAGCCGCTACAGTATGCTACAGTTACAGCTACTTGTACTGCTACTACTGCTACTACTACCACCACGAGGACGACGACTACGACGACGACGAGTCGTGCAACAAGCTCTTGCAAGCACCAGTACTGGAAGCAGTTCGGCTTCTTCTGCTATGGTGGTAAGAATATGTAAGAATGAAAGGAAAACATGAATAGTCATCACAATCAAGGGCGGCAGCACGCTCGAGCAGGACAAGCGGCCTGCTGGTTTGGCCGAGCCGCACGAGGAGTCCGAGCAGGTCGAGGCGCCACGGGGAGACACAAGCTGAGGTGTGGGGTTGGTTCTGTCGGGCTTTTACATGTCAGTTCCACTGCTCAAGGGTGGACGTTTAAGCTTGCTGGTGAGACATGTAGCAGATGTGTGGCGATTTTTGGCGAGGGTTGCCCAGGGTTGCCGACTTGTCACTTTGGTGAGTCGACAGTTGGTTGCTGCGGTTGTGATGGACGGGGTGACGTGGTGAGGGATGGTCAACGCTAGCTGTTGACCAAGGGTTTGAGAATGTAACCTAACAATAATTGCTGTTGAGGCTCGGAAGGT